ACTGCTGTTGTTCTTGACATCTATTTATGACTTAGACTTAGCTAACTGGGTATTATTTCAAAGTTTTCACCTGACATGTGAACTGTGAGTACTGATGTTTAAGGTCAAAAGAATATAGACAGTCGATGAAACAGCCAGGCAAGTAGCAGATTAAATTTAATACAGAGAAGTGGAGCAATTTGGTAAGAAGAATCAGGACAAAGTGTTAAAATTTTTTTAAATTTTGAAGTGGGTGCAGGAAGAGATGGACCAGGGGTTGATCTTCAAATCAGTAAGGTGGCAAAACAGCTTGAGGGGACTGTTTAAAAAAAAAACATAATGATGGCTTTATAAACAGGGGCAGTTAGTATATAAGAAAGGAAGTTATGTTGAATCTGTACAAAACAATGGTCCCTCGTCAACTGGAGTATTGTGCTTACTTCTCAGCAGCATACTTTGGAAAGGATGTGAAGGAATTAAATAGAATCCTAGAATCCCCACAGTGCAGCGAGAGGCCATTAGGCCCATTGAGTCCACACCGATCTTCAGAACAGCATTCCACTCAGACCCAGTCCCTGACTCTATCTCTGTGATCCCCCCCCTCCCCACCCCCTCAACCCCATTTACCATGGCTAAGCCACCTAGCCTGCACATCCCTGGACCCTACAGGGAAGTTTAGCATGGCTAATCCCTAACCTGCACAATAGCGGACTGTAGGAAGAAACCAGAGCAGTTGGCAGAAACCCATGTATACATGAGAAGAGTGTGCAAACTCCACACAGGCATCCAAGGCTGGAATTGAAACTGAATGCTGTGAGGCATCAGTGATCAGAAAAGATTCAAAAAAGTGATTCCGCAAACAAGCAACTTCAGTTACATAAATGGATTGGACAAGCTGGCACTGTTCTCCCAGGAGATTTGATATATTCAAAATTAAGAGGAATCTCAACAAAGTTGAAATTGTTTCTTGACATACAGATTGAGTACCAGAGGATACTAAGTTAAGGTGATTTGCAAATGAAACAAAAGTGACATTATAAAAAATCATTACACAGTGAATCGTTAGGGTCTAGAATGCACTGCTTCTGAATGTGATTGAAGCAGATGCCATCATTGCTTTCAAAAGTCACTTAGTTCATTATCCTAAGCAGGGCTACAGGGAAGTTACAGGCCCTACCTTTTCACTATAACCATTCCATTATTCAATATAGTCAGGAGAGTTAGACTGACCCTCACTATTTAGCATATTGATGTTTTTTACTGACCTGGCTCCATGTTAATAGGGAGAACTTTCACTGACATCTCCAGCATATAGGGAGTGGAGGACTCTTTTACTGACACCTCAAGGTCTAAGGTACAGACAGGCCCTTCACTGACCCCAATGTCTAGGATGCACAGCGGGCCTTTCACCAACCACCACACCCCCTCCCCCGTGTCCGGGGAGTGCGGGGGGGGGGGGTGGGGGGTCTTTCGTTGACACCCCAGAGTCCCAAATCTGAAACAAGTGGAATTGTGAACGTGCCTTATCACCTCAGTAGTTAATTGAGACGGCCCAGTACTGACTGCGGTTTAATCCAGTTGTCACTTGATTCTATGCGCATTGCTGAAACTTTCTCCCTTCCACACGAGAATGAAGGCCACGTGACAGATGAAGGCGGAGCTTTGTGACCCCGGAAGAGGAAGGAGTGAGACGGTGGGGTCACGCTTAATGGTGACGTTTGTTAGTTGGTGCGGTCCTGGGCCCGGTGTTTGTGGTAAGGGCCTCGGTGTCACGTTACTTCTTTGATCTTCTCTGTGTTTGGGTGGAATGGTTGTTATTGGCGTTTGTGTTTCAGGCTGAGTTTCTGTGAGGAATACGAGCTGTTAAAGTCTCTTCTGTGGCTGTCTTTGCTATCTGGATGCTGGCAGTTGCTGCCTCTGGTTCGATGGAGTAAAAGCAGCGAGTTGTAGCCGAGGAGCCCTGGTCACAGCTTTCCTTCCCGGAATTGTCGGACCGCTGGTATCTTCATCCCCCCAGCGGATCCTGTTTCTTTTGGTAAGGCGGCTGCAGCTAGGAGAAACTGCGGACTCGATTGATGATTTATTTCATATTGTAATTTTTTAAGAAAAGTAAACCATATGGCTTTCAATCGCCTCATATCTCGTTTGTTGCGACAGAACAACTAAACTTGAAAAGCGGCCAAAATGGTGTTAGCGGATTTGGGGAGAAAAATTACCTCCGCTCTGCGATCCTTGAGCAATGCCACCATCATCAATGAGGAGGTATTTTAACTTCGTGATTTGTGAGAGTTAGTGTTTCAGTTGATGCGGTACTTGCTCCGTCGCTAAAGCTAAGTGTCGTATTAGCACAAAGAAAACAATTCTGCACCTATTTACTTATTGATAAGACCATCAAGTATTTGAGCATTTGGAAATAATAATCTGGTTCTCAAAATTTGCTCAATATTACTAATCTGAAACAATTGTTGCACCCGTGAAATATTTTCAGATCTAACTTTTTTTTTGGTTATTAGAGACAAAAAACACTGCAGATGCTGGAATCCAAGGTAGACAAACAGGAGGCTGGAAGAACTCAGCAAGCCAGGCAGCATCTGGAGGAAAGGAGCAGTCAGTGTTTCCGATATTACCCTTCTTCAGGACTTCAGATGCTGCCTGGACTGCTGTGTTCTTCCAACCTCCCGTTTGTCTGCCTAACACTTTTTGTGAACTTTGTAATTAACGTAAGCATGTTGTTCGTAAATGAAATTTTTAACTTGTGATTTCTTAATGGTTGGAAAAAGGGTTGAATATTGGAGAGGAATGTACGTTTTGTTTACTGGTGCCAATTTAAGTTTGTGTGGTCTAAATTTGATGGAGATTATTGATGCACCTGACGTCAAATTATCTACATGCTATATTGCCTTTTAGAGCTGTCATCCAGCAATATTAAAAATCAAACTTCTTAGATGTCTTAAATAGTTCTAATTATGCTATGGTAAAAAGAATTGTTGCGTGACTGATTATTTGACAGATGAGATTAGAAAACTATACATGCTGTAATTCTTTGTTTCCTCCTATTTTTATTTTATTTCTTATGACTTTATAGTTGAAATCCAAAACCTGTACGTTTTTAAGTTCTGCAGTATACACAGTTAAAAATAAACATTTTGGCTATCTCTGAAGTATGTTTGCTGATTTAGGAATAAAATATCACATACAGAATTCTGTATTGTCCTGGTTCTGTAAGGTAAGAAAGAAAAAAAACAGAACTTGCATCTTAGTCATTTCCAGGCATACTTGGTCTTATTTTCTATGTTTTCACTTCTGTCCTTTTCTGTAAGTTTTGTTCTTCATATGCTTTGCACTTTCTGCCTGTCATCCTTTTCCTGCCACTTCTCAAAGAAACTAAGAAAAATAGATTGTTGAATTTTAAATGTGTAAACACTTGAAAATGGTACATATAGA